AGAGAGAGAGAGAAAGGGGGAGGAGGAGGAGGAGGAGGAAGAGGAAGAGGAGGAGGAGGTGGAGGAGGAGGAGGAAGAGGAGGGATTCTTTCTGCTGTGTTAGAGTAGAAGCCAAAATCCAGCAACATAATGGGGCTTTGGTTTGAGGCATAGATGGAAACTTCTTTCCAAGCTCCATGGAGACGAATATGAACTTCAAGGTAATGAAGGGCTAAGTGTTGAAATGGTTTTCTCTCTTCTTGCTGTGCCCCGGTGATAATTGAAGAAGTCTCAGGTTAGGGTGGACATGATCAAAGGGCCCTGCTCCCTCAGAGAGTTTGGCTGGCCCCATTACCAATGGAAGGCTAAGGCCAAGGGGATCAAACCCAGTACCTCTTGCAAGAATGTTGTAAACGACACTGAATCTTGCCATGTCCCCAGCCCTGCAACTGGCTTTTCAGATGGGATAGGCTCTGAGATCCAGGATTTATGTTTAAGTTTTTCTTTTTTGTGTGTTGTGATTGTTTGTTATCAGCTCTGAGCCTTAAAGTTTATTTAGCTCAATAACCAAATCTGTTAGTCTAGCATCACAGAAACTACACTTCCCAGACTCCTTTGCCAGCTACTTCTGGATAGAGTGAGCCCATGGAGAAAGGCTGGAGCTGGGAATTGTCAGGTGTTTCTTGCCCACTATGACCCACTTTGGGTGGCAGCCTTGGCTGTGTCTCCTGTGGGGCTCGTTCGGCCTGGCAGCTCTACTGTCTTCCTAATCCTGTCAGCAGCATTGCCTTCTCCATCTTTTCCTGTAGATGGAAGGATGGAGCAGCTTTCTGCTGTGGGGCGTCTGGCTGCCTCCCAGTTCTGATTGGACCCATAGTCTCCTGCTATCAGAACCAACTCCTTGGTAGTAAAGTTCCTTAAGAATGGATTCTGGTGACTTTAGGACAAGCTGGAGTGGGGAACTACATCCAGAGGGATAGTGGAGCCAGTGGTGGATCAAGGTGGCTGGCTGTGCCTTGGAACAGGAAGGCTGTCTTGGGGGTTCTGGGGCATATTAGAGGGAGGAGCCTGATGGAGCATCTCAAGGCCCTTTAACTCAGTGTCTAGGGCTATACAGAAATAAGTGGGAGGCAAGATGTTAAAGATTTGGGGGGCAGTGATATGACTCAGTGAGTAAAGGTACTTGTCACTAAGCTCGATAACCTGAGTTCAATCCCCAAGACCCAGATGGTGAAAGGAGAGAACTGACTCTTGAAAGTTGTCCTCTGTAGTACACTACTGGCACACTCTCCCTAACACACACACACACACACACACACACACACACACATGCACACACACATGCACGCACACACAAATATATATATATAATAAAAGAATTTGAGAGAGAGGGAGAGAGAGGGGAGAGGGGGAGGGGAGAGAGAAAGAGAGAGGAAGAGGGAAAGAGAGAGAGAGGGGTGATGGTTAATCTTGGTTGTCAGCTTGATGGGATTTAGAATCACCATGGAAACAAACCTCTGGTCAAGTCTCTGAGGGAGTTTCTAGATTAGATTAATTGAGTTGGGAAGACCTAGCCTAAGTGTGAGCAGCACCACCCCATGGCCTCAGGTCCCAGACTGAATAAGAAGCAGAAAATGAGCTGGGGGTGGGGCTGGAGAGATGGTTCAGAGGTTAAGAGCACTGGATGCTCTTGCAGAGGACCTGGGTTTGGTTCCCAGCACCCACATGGCAGCTAACAACTGTCCATGACTCCAGTTCCAGGGTAATTCGACGCTCCCTTCTGACCTCCATGGGCATTGCATGACACAGGTGCACTTACATATATGTAGGCAATATACTCACACCAGCCTGGTTAGACACATCCCTCCACACACAAAGATGCAGCCTTAAAGGGCATGAAAACATGAAGGTTCCCTGGCATCTCCTGGCAGTGGTGGAATTATAGCTCATTTTATTTTCTTCCTATGACATAGCTGCATTTTCTAGTTTTTATAGGAGCTATATTAATTTCTCTCTTGCTCTTTCTTTCTTCTTTCTTTCTTTCTTTCTTTCTTTCTTTCTTTCTTTCTTTCTTTCTTTCTTTCTCTTTCTTTTTTTGAGACAGGGTCTCCCTGTAGCCCCAGCTGTCCTGGAACTCACTATGTAGACCAGGCTGGCCTCAAACTCACAGAGATCTGCCTACTACTGCCTCCTGAGTACTGGAACTAAAGGTGTGTGCCACTATGCCTGGCTCCAGTAGCTATATTAATTTCTATGAAGGAAATACAAGGTCTTGAAGAAGGAGACTTGGGGACAAAGACTTTGCCAACACTGACCTTTCCAGAAGGCCGTTTCCTCTCCCTTCACCAAACTCTCCCTTCTTCAAAGACAGTTGGGATAGTTTCTCTTCCCCAAATGTGCACACAGTCGATGATTCCAGACCACAATAATCTCCCCTTAAAATTCCTTCCAGAACCATGGTCTGCCCCACACCTGGTACTGTCCAGTGTAAGTCACCAGTGTGACATGCTCACAACTGAAGAGAGAGGCCTGGGTTGGGGTTGGAGGAGAGATAGGAGAACTTTCTGCCAACATTTGGGAAGCTTCAGTATGCAGGGGACTCTAGATCCTTCTGAATAACACTCTCTGCAGAGGAAATGAGGGGTTTCGTGGGGAGACAGGCTCTTTGCTTTAAGGCGCTAGCTCTCACTATGAGGCTGGTTTTAGGATGGGTTGCCTTGAGGAGTAGCTATCTCTCTCTTGCTGGAGGGGTTCAAGTGAGGCTATGACCAGTGTGAGAGGTCCATAAATAAGTTCACTCTAGAAATGGATGGTTCTTAAATTTCTGTATTGGGAGGAAGTGTTCTGAGTGCAGAAAACAGCCTTCTGCATCCTGTATCTGTATCTGTCATGTGGATGAATCCTAATAGAACAAGCGTCTAACATCAGCTTGCAGGATTGGCCTGGATAATGGCAGATTCCAGTTGAGGCTACCAGGAAGAGCCCTGTTTCATATCTGATACTTTCTCAAGTATTCCCTGCATCGCCTTACCTCTGAGCCTTTGCACAAGCTATTCCCATTGTCTGGAACACCTTTCCATTCTCTTTTCCTTTCTAACTCTAGTTCATTATTCAAATCTGGTCTCAAAATTACTTCCCCCAGGAAAGTTTCCCAGCACGACATTCATCTGCCCTGTAATTCCTGTGTTTCCAGAGCCTAGAGTGCATTTCACTGTTTTCTGTTTCCTATATTTTCTCCCCTTCACATATCAGTGCACAAACTAGCCCAAGAACTGGGTAACATTTGTTGATTGACTGAGTGTGCTGGGAGAGCTGGTTATGACTAGCTCCATTTGAAAAAAAAAGCGAAACACAAAAAAACAGGGATGGAGAGATGGCTCAGCAGTTCAAAGCACTTGCTACTCCTTCAGAGAGCCTGGGTTCAGATCCCAGCACCCACATGGCAGTTAGCAACTGCCTATTAACTCCAGTCCTAAGGGATCTTGTGCCCTTTTCTGGCCTCTACAGGCACTGTGGTAGCACAGTTATGTGCAGGCAAAACACTTATACACATAAAAAATAAAGTTTGGTGTGGTGGCACACACCTTTAGTCCCAGCACTCAGGAGGCAGAGGCAGGCAGATCTCTGTGAGTTCAAGACCAGCCTTGTTTACATAGTGAGTTCCAATGCCAGCTGGGGCTACAGGGAGACCCTGTCTCAAAAAGACCAAATTAATCAATCAATCAATTAATTAATTAACAAAAAGAAAATAAAAAATATGTCTTTTAAAAATATTTTACTTATTATTATTTTATGTGTATGAGTGTTTTTCCTGTATGCATATCAAGTGTATCCGTGTTGTGCAATAACCACAGAGACCAGATGAGGGTGTCAGATCTCCCAGAACTGGAGTTATGGACAGTTGTTAGCTACCATATGGGTGCTGGGAATTGAAGCCAGGCCCTCTGCAAGTGAAGCCAGTACTCTTAACCTCTAGGCCATCTCTCTAGCCCCAAAAATATGTTTTAAAATGACAAACACTCCGTTTCTGTCTCTTCTCTCAACTCCCAGGGATGTCAGAGCCTCTTCTGCAGAACAA